GAGCGTCAGCCTGTGAACTGAGGGGTCCTGGGTTCAATTCCGGTCAAGGGCATGTACCTTGGTTGCAGGCACATCCCCAGTAGGAGGTGTGCAAGAGGCAGCTGATCGATGTTTCTCTCTCATCGATGTTTCTAACTCTCTATTCCTCTCCCTTCCTCTCTGTAAAAAATCAATAAAATGTATTTTTTTTAAAAATAGGTAGATAATTGTGATGCTTCTTCCATCTCTGTCCTAAAAGGGCTTTCTGTTTCCTTAAAGGAATTGAATCTAATAATTCCATCACAACCTATTGATAATTTCAAATTCATTACTTCCTTCCTGAGCATAAAGTTTATTAAAGATATATGCTGTGTTCTCTGAGAAATGAATTACACACACTTACTTTCCTCTTTCATGCCAAGCTGTGGATTTTTATAAAAGATGTTCTAAAAATGGTTTCATTCTAACAAACCATATTGATGCAGTCTAAAAGGACCGCCACAGAGTGAGGTTCAGTTGTAAAGTTCACGAGAAATTAGTAGAGGTTTTCTCCAAATTGCTCTTATGCTTTTTATTGCACTAAAAAGTAAAGATTTATGTTTGAAAAGTAGAGAAGAATGCTGACTTCTTATGTAACCATCTGTGCTCTTAGGCAAGGATAAAGACCTCTTAAGAGTTATATTTTTTTTAACAAAGCTAAACATTCTAAAATTAATTTTTTTATTAAGGTAACATTGCTTAAATAGCAAATTTCAGGTATGCAACATTATAATTTGTTTCTGTATACTCTATTTCCTGCTCACCACAAAAGTCTAGTGTCTCTCCATACCATATATTTGACCTCTTTACGCATTTCATCTTCCCACTTTCCTTTCCCTCTGATTACCACCTTTCTGTTGTCTATATCTATGGGTTTGTTTTTGTTTTGTTATGTTTATTAATTTGTTACTTTTTTGTTTTATATTCCATATGAATGAAATCATACAGGTTTTGTTCTTTTCCATCTGATTTATTTCACTTAGTATAATATCCTCAAGATCCATCCATGTTGTCACAAATGGTAATTTTTCATCTTTTTTATGACTGAGACCGTGTGTGTGTGTGTGTGTGTGTGTGTGTGTGTGTGTGTGTCACATATCATATCTCCTTTATTCACTCATTCATTGATGGACACTTAGGTTGTTTCTGTATCTTGGCTATTGTAAATAATGCTGCAGTGAACATAGGGGAACATACATCTTTTTGAATTAGTGTTCTTACAAGTAGAGAATTGTTTTTCATCTGAATTTATAGCTGCCAGAATGTAGGTTGATAATCTCAAGTCTGATATTTATTAACATAAGAAGGATAAATAAATTCTGGTATACCTTAATATTGTTCAGCAATATTAAGGATATATAAGTTGGGGATTTTAAATGCCTATTCCCAGTATCTTCGGGTTGTATATGCATGTGTTAATTTAGATGTATTTTCTTTTGGAACTCTTATTGTCAGGGAACAGATGATGAATGGTGAGAGTGAGATTTCCATTTCTTTCATTTAAAAAAACACACATTTAAAATGATATAGCAATTAGTGGAAAAGTTAAGGTCTAAATCTCTTAATATTTCTTTATTGATTATTTTTCTTGATATTCTTGGAATATATTTATTGGGATTTTTAAATAAAAGGTTTTTGGTGCATGATAGGAAAACAGCAAGTTGCAAAATGATAAAGTGAGCATGAGAAAAATTAATGTACACTATTATGCAAATATTCACTCAAGTTTTTAGAAACCATCTTTAATGAGATATCATTTACGTACAATGAAATTCACCAATTTTAAGTGTGTAATTCCATGAGTTTTGACAGATGTATCGTCATGTAATCATACTACAATGAAGGTATAGAGTATTTTTGTCACCCCAAAAGTTTCCTTATACCCCTTTGCTGCCAATCCTTCCTCCATTCCTTGGCAACCACAGATCTGTTTCCTGTCACTATAATTGTCTCTTTAAATTTTTCTATAAATGAATTCACACAGTGTATATAGTCTTGTGCCTGGCTTATTTAACATAATGCTTATGAGATTCATCAGCATTGTTGTAGCAATTGTTTCTTTTTATATGTTTTCTTTATCTTCTTGTCATCTTTCCTCTACCTTTCTGAATGTAGAAGCATTTTTTTAAATGTATTTTTATTTCAGAGAGAGGAAGGGAGAGGGGAGAGAGGAATGGAAACATCAGTGATGAAAGAGAATCATTGATCAGCTGCCTCCTTCACACCCCCTACTGGGGATTGAACCCGCAACCCAGGCATGTGCCCTGACTAGGAATCGAACTCAGGACTTCCTGGTTCATGAGTGGATGCTCAACCAATGAGCCACACTGGCCAGGCTAGGAGCATATTTTTAATAGCATTACTCTGTTATTTCTGTTGATTGAATTTTCTCCTAGTAGTGGGTCATATTTTCCTATTTCTATGAATGCGTGGATTGTTTTTATTATGTCAGATATATTTCCATTATTAGGTGTTGCATTCCTTTTGATAATTTTGGACTTTGTTCTTGAAATCAATTGGATCCTTTTGAGACTCGCTTTTAAGGTTTGTTAGAGTGGGTCAAGCACAACTTTTAGTCTCAGGCTAATTTAACTCTATTACTAGTGTGATACCCTTCTGAGGTCTTTCCATGTGGGTGGGTGAAAATAAAAACTATTGCCAACTCAGTTGGCTGCATTCTGGTGTATCCTTCCCCGGCACCTGATGGTTTCTTCTCATACTTATGCAGGTCAGCACTCTGCCAGAGGCTCAAGGGGCCCTTCCATAGATCCCCTCATCCTCTCCTATACACTGCCCAATAAATTCTAGCCTCCTTAGCCTCTCCAACTCCCATGTCTGGTGTCCTCAAGTGACAAGACTAGGTTCCCCACCCTATGCAGCAGATTAGGACCTACTCTAGTAGCATAGGGACAATCCAAAGGCTCACCTCCTGTTAACCTTCTCAGTCCTGCACTGCCTGTGGCCCAGTACCTGGAAACCATTGTTTTATATACTTCATCCAGTTTTCTATTGTTTATAGCAGGAAGATAATCTAGTCACTGGTATGCTATCATGGCCAGAGTGGAATTCTCTTCTTTTGAGTAAGAGTAAGCATATATTGCTATTTCTAGAGCACATGGCTCATCATTCCTTAACATACTTAAATATAACACACTTTAATGTCTGCTTTATTATTTGTAAGAGTTATGTCATAATTTTAGTGATGTTCATTAGAGTTCATACTAAGCTTAATCTATGTTTGAGTGTTATTTTTTGGTCAACTTGAAATTATTTACATAGAGAGTATTAAATTCGGGTTATTTGTTAATCCTCACCCAAGGATATTTTTCCACTGATTTTTAGGAAGAGTAGATAGGAGAGAGAGAGGGAAAGACAGAGAGGAACATCGATATGAGAGAGACACATCAATTGGTTGCCTCCTGCATGAGCCCCGACCAGGGCCTGGGCCAGGGAGAAGCCTGCAACCAAGGTACATGCCCTTGGCTGGAATCGAACCCCAGGACCCTTTGGTCCATAGGCTGACACTCTATCCACCTGAGCCAAACTGGCTAGGGCAATTTGGGGTTATTTGTAGCAAACATATCTAAAGTAGCTTCCCATCAATGATGGATATAGTAGTATTCTAATTCTAAGGAAATATATTAACCATTTGTATTTCTGGTTGATTGATTTATCTTTTGAACAGTATGATGTTTGTTTTTTAATATTAATTTTCTGGCTTTCTAATATATGTGAGAAAATGACTGCAAACCTTTTTTTTCTTATTGGATTTATTGGGATGACATCTATAATAATAAAAGGGTAATATGCTAATTAGACCAGAAGTCCTTCTGGGCGTCATTCCGAATGTCCTTCTGGACAAAGCCGGGGCCAGAGGAAAGCCTGGGTCCCAGGTGCCAGAGGGAAGCCTGTGCCGGCAGCCAGGGGAAGGAAGGCCTACTCTTGCACGAATTTTCGTGCATCAGGCCTCTAGTTGGTTAATAAAATTATATAGGTTTCAGGTGTACAATTCTATAATACATCCTCTGTGTTTGTATTGTGTGTTCACCACTCCAAGTCAAGTCTCCTTAAAGCATCACCATTTATCCTCCTTCACCCTCTCCGACCTCCCCCAACCCCCTCTGCAAACCTTTTCTTTACTTGGGCATATTCGTAATTAAGATCATCGTTTGAATTCATGGCTTGCTCTCTATTACAGAACAGTTGTTGGGACATCTATTCAGATATTGACCTACCATAATGTCAAAAACAGGCCAAACGTTTAGTCACTTAGCAGTTAGAGAAATGTATGTTTCAATCCATTGGTGTTATAGGGAAGGTGGACAAAGTGGGATTAAAAATATGATTTTAAAAAGGACACATATGTAATACCCTTTGTAATACTTTAAGCAATAAAAAAAATATGATTTTACATTATTATGGATATGCTGTTGCTGTCTGGTAGGAGTTTTAGGGAAATGGTAACATAAAATCAGACTCTTAAGAGGAAAATTTGTGTCTCTACATGGCTTTATCTCTGGTCTTATATGTAAAATTATTCACAGCACCGTTAGGTGGAATGAATATTAAAGTTGAGAGACCTAGATTCTAGTCTCAGCTGTGCCACTTATTACCATGTGACTTACCAGCCAATCACTGCCTTGGTGAGAGTCTCCTGATCTATAAAATGAAGATGAAAATAAATACCCTACCTACTGCAAAAGGATAGGGTGTTAAATGAGATGACAATGTTTGAGGACGCTAATGTGCAATGGAAATATTAGCTGTTAAACTTATTTTGTGCATTACTATAAAATCTGTTGTCAACACCTAGTCTGACAGAATACAAAGCAAGATATATTTATATTTCATACAGCTTGCTGTGCAAAAATATTTTATGTTGGAAAGGAAGAAATAAATCATAGGACTGATTGACAGAATGGAGATAGAGGCGATTGCTCTCTTTTTAATATTATTTTATTTGTTTTCCCATGATTTTCCAGGCAAAGAGTGTGTACAGCAGTTAGCTGAAAATACTAGGTATTTCAGGAGACGTCTGAAAGAGATGGGCTTCATCATCTATGGAAATGAAGATTCTCCAGTGGTGCCTTTGATGCTCTACATGCCAGCCAAAATCGGGTACGTTTTATTACACAATACAAACTGGTCTCTCTAGGCTTAAGGTTTCCGTGATATGAGACTCAGAATTAGGTATTTTGGCCTCTTCATGTTAACATGTATTCACTAGATATGCCATTGATTAGTGGATTCCAACTTGCAAAATATGTTAACTTGTTAGTCTTTCATTAAACATACATTTGAGTTTAATGCACTCTTCTGGGGGATTGAGATAGATCAGCAAACAATACACAAAAGTAAAAATCCCTCTCCCGTGGAGCTTACGTTCTAGTGGGGCGACAGACAAACATAATAGATAAGTAAATTATAACACATGTGAGAGGGTGTTTAGAGCTATGGGAAATACAGAGCAGATATGGGGCATTGAGCGTGCCCTGTGGCGGGCAGTTTACAGCATTAAATGGGGTGGTCGGGGTGAGCCTCAGTGGGAAGGGAACATGACACCTGAGCTTAAAAGACAGAGAGAGTTAGCCACCTGGAGAAAGAAGCTTTTGTGCAAAGGCCATAAGGCAGGAACATGCTTAGCCAAGGGAAGAATAGCAAGGAGGTGAGTGGAGCTGAAGTGCAGTGCCCATGAGGGCGAGTGGTGAGCCATGCAGTCAGGGCGTGTGCTTGCATAATTATCAGAAGTGCAGATTGCACCAGCTTCTTTGGCTTGTGCAGGGTGTGTATAATAGGAAGCCTTGTCCTAGAATGGCTTCCAGTGTATAACAAAACCAGAAGACATTTGAAAAGCAAATATGAAATGAACCAATACAATTATTTGCAAAATAATAACATGCAAAATTGTTCCAGAGATGGAAAATAATTCAGATTTGTGAGTTTTGACCGGTTCTTAGATATAAAATTGGATAAGGTTTAATTGAAGTCATTAAAGGAGCAAATATTTTATTCATCTTTGAATCCCCAGTTACCCACCACAGGCCCTGGCATTCAGAGGCCACTCAGTAATGTTTATTAAAATGAATAGGAGGGAAAATTCAATCAGGGAACCTAGAAACATGGTGATTCCTACGATAATAATGAGGGGGAAATTGGGCAGGGGTGCTCACTGAGGCAAAAAGAGTTCAGTTTTCAACAGGAAGTCATATGGGCAGTTGGCCTTACGGCCTTCAGAAGCAACGGTGGAAATGAGCCAGGCAGAGGTGTAGAATATTCCTCATTCCTGAAATGGAATTATCATGAATAAACTGGAAGAGTTATTCAGTCTGGAGGACTGACTGAATCTAGAACCCTTTCTTTAGAGAGGACTGTGTCTATTTTGCCCTAGTGAAGCTGACTGTGTACATCATAATTAAGACTTGGAGAGAGTGCAGCAGAATTGGAATAAATCACTAGACAGTTTGGGAACATGAGCTGAAGATGCAGGCACTCAGGCCCTTGCTGCCACAAAGGAAGTACATCGAAGACTGTACTGGTACTAGAGGGAGTGGGGACTGGCTGGCGCTAATGTAATTAGTTGCTAATGTAACTAAAATGTGTGGGATTCTTTTTATTTTCAAAAAAACACTTTAAACAACTAAGGGGAAAATACAAAAAGGATTGGTAAGTCAAAAAGAGGAAAAGACAAAGAACATAATTTAGTAAATATAACAATTTACATGAGAGTTAGAATTATGTTATTTAGACAAGATACAGAAGTGGAACAAAGTCACATGCCACCAGGTTGCCTTGGGGTTGGGGGTTAATGAGAGCTGGGTACTCACACAGCTGGAGCCTGGGGATGTGCTGGCCTCACAAACACCAAAGGAAACCCTGAATTCCAGAGGCAGATTGATGCCCACCTCAGTCAAAGACATGCCTGGTGTTGGGGGGTTAGTGCTACCAGGCCATTTTACCAGCAGAAGTCCACGGTACAACAGATCCTCTGCCTCCTTATAATCTTAAGAGTCTTCTAAACTGCCAAGCCTAACATTTCAAGAGCCAGGTTTTAAACGCTAGTTCATTTTGAAGCCTCTGAACCACTGTTACATGTCCGGGACACTTTAAGGCCAAAATTGCAAATTACTTTAGGCAAGCCCTATTAAAAATTGGTCTCTGCCAACTGTCTTCTTCACCTTTGTGAAGAAAACCATTTGGGAGACAACCACTTTTGGACTGAGTAAAAAAAGTCTTTGTGAACTGTCCGTGTTAACTTGAAGAGGAAATTCCTCATAGAAGTCTCCAGCGCCTCTCACTCAGGAGTTTAGCTCATTCAGCCCTGCAGGACCTCTGTACTGTATGCTTTATGACTCTTCCTGGTTTCTTTTCCTTGCTTTCCCTTCGCAGCGCCTTTGGACGGGAGATGCTGAAGCGGAACATCGGAGTAGTTGTGGTGGGATTTCCTGCCACCCCAATTATTGAGTCCAGAGCCAGGTTTTGCCTGTCAGCAGCTCATACCAAAGAAATTCTTGATACTGTAAGTAGACACTTTAACCTTGGTATAAAATATCTTATACTAAGAGGGCCTGATTATCAGATGAAATTATTTGTTGATCGTGACGTTCTTTGAGCACCTAAGATATTTACCAGTAAAATAGAGGAGGGAATATACAATGCTACTTAAAACATTGATGTTTACCAAAAAAGAACAAAGAAAAACCATTAGCATCACCCACCAGACCCTGTGTGATCATGGGGACTTTGGGGAATTTTTTGGCTTCATCTTGTTCCACGCCCTCCCTCTTTATGGCCTCTACAACTAACTATACAGTTCTCTTTCTACTCTACTCTATGTTTCTACTCTAAACGATCTTGTTTGTTTGTTTTGTCTAGGATTTTCTTTCTTGAGCCTTCTCTTATCTTTTCCCTGCTAATTCCTACTCATTCTTCATATCTCCACTTAAAGGAAACTGGCTCAAATCTATTCCCAAACCCTCTTGCTTGATGTTTCCTTGGAATCTTAATATTTCTCCTTAGCGCCCTAGCCAGTTTGGCTCAGTGGCTAGAGCATCAGCCTGCGGACTGAAGGGCCCCCCAGGTTCGATTCCGGCAAAGGGCACATGCCCGGGTTGCGGGCTCAATTCCCAGTAGGGGGTGTGCAAGAGGCAGCCGATCAATGATTCTCTCTCATCATTGATGCTTTTATCTCTCTCTCCTTCTCCCTTCCTCTTTGAAATCAATAAAGAAATATATTTTAAAAAGAAAAGATTTCTCCTTAGGGAATTATTCACACCTTTCATTGTTTATGGAAATACTCTCCATTAGATAAATCTTGAGGATAGGAGCTAAGTCTGTTTTGCCCATTCTCTATCCCAAGACCTAACACAGTACCAGGCACATTTATGATAGCATTCAAACATTGCTGAAAGAAGATTTAAGTAAATGGAAAGACATCCTGAGTTTGTGGATTGGAAGATTTAATATTGTTAAGATGGTAGGCAGTATAGCAAGATCCATAAATCCATTGTGCAATCCCTATCAAAATCCCAATGGCTTTTTTTGCAGAACGTTTAAAGCAGAGCCTCAAATTCATATGGAACTATAGGGTCCCCAGATAGCCAAAATAGTATTAAAAAAGAAAATTGAAGTTGGAGGACTCAAACTTCCTGATTTCAAAACTTACTACAAAGCTATAGTAATTCAAAACAATGGGATTCTAGCATATAGATGTACTTATAGACCAATGGAATAGCACTGAGAGGAATAAACCCAAGCATCTGGCTAATTAATGTTCAACAAGGGAACCAAAGCTAGTCAATGGGGAAAGACTAGTCTCTTCAACAGATGGTGCCAGGCAATTGGATAACCACATGCAAAATGATAAAGTCGGACCCCCACAGCATGTGAATAATTCCCTAAGGAGAAAGCATTATGTTAAGTGAAAGAAGCCAGACACAAGAGACCACATTTACACAAAACGGCCTAAAGGCAAATTCCTAGGGTCAGCCCTAGCTGGTTTGGCTCAGGGGATAGAGCGTCGGCCTGCAGACTGAAGGGTCCCAGGTTCGATTCCAGTCAGGGGCACATGCCCGGGTTGTGGGCTCGATCCCTGGTGGGGGGCATGCAGGAGGCAGTCAATCCATGATTCTCTCTCATCATTGATGTTTCTATCTCTTCCTTCCTCTCTGAAATCAATAAAAATATATATTTTTTAAAAATTCGTAGGGTCAGAAAATAGATTGGTGCTCCTGGCTAGGTGACTCAGTTTTGAGCGTCATCCCATACACCCCCCTCCCCCCCAAAAAAAAAAGTTGCAGATTCAATTCCTGGTCAGGGTACATACCTAGGTTGCAGGTTCAGTTCCTGATCAGGATATGTATGGGAGGCAACCGAACAGTGTTTTTCTCTCTCTTTCTTTCTCTTTCTCTCTCCCTTTCCTCTCTCTAAAATCAATAAACATATTGAGGATTTTTTTAAATTACTCTTTAAAACTAAGAAAGAAAAGAAAATCTATTGGTAGTTATCAGGGCTAGTGGTAAGGGAGGAATGAGGATTGATTGATAGGAGTATGAGGTTTCTTTTTTGAGGTGATATGCTTTATAATTAGTGATGAAAGTTGTACAACTCTGAATATATTAAAAGCATTGACTTGTACACTTTGAAAAGGTGAATTTGTGGCATGTGAATTGTATCTCATTAAAGTGTTATTTTTAAAAATAAGAAGGGCAGTGCTATTGGTTCAGGAGCCCCGCTGTTCTAAAATACTCTTATTAAAGGACCACACTCAACCCTATAATTAACACTTTTTTAACTAAGAACCCATCTTACCCTGTGATCCAGAGGTCTGGTGTAGACTCTTTGTTAACAAATGGTGGTCCTTGTAATGGTTCCTAATTTCTAATCTAACCAGGTAACCCCACATAATAGCCGGCAGTTTCTAGTTACAATTTTACCTTTTATGTAAATAAAACTTACTCATCTGAAATATTTGGTTTGGGATCAGAAGAAATTTTGTTATCTAGATCCCTTTGAGCTACTGTGGGTTTATTCCTGTCTCTATTCATTTTCTTTTTTAAATTGATGACAAAATATTAAGTTCTTCTGAAGTTTGAGTTCATAAATGTCCTTTACTCTGTGATCTTAGTAAGTCGTGTGTTGTTTTAAATTAACAAATTCTATATCAGAGGTCAGGAGCATAAATGGCTAATGGGTTCTCCAGCTAAAATTCAACCTTAAATTGTTTCCATATGGAGCTTTCAATTAAGCCTCTTCTCAAAGGTACCACTGTTCTGATAACACATTGAAATCCAGCTCTTACTTGCTTTTTATATCTTTTCACATTTGGAATGAAGAATGTTTTATCTTATGCTGGAATAAATAAGGAATACTATTAGTGGGCTTTTCCTCTCTACAAACACTGATTTTTAAAAGTTAAACTTAGGAATAGGTAAATGTGGCTTTTTACTAATAATGAACTGATCCCTCTTCTGAAGTAGAAGGTGTACATTTTTAAATATGTTTTTATTGATTTTTTTACAGAGAGGAAGGGAGAGAGATAGAGAGTCAGAAACATCGATGAGAGAGAAACATCGATCAGCTGCCTCCTGCACATCTCCTACTGGGGATGTGCCCGCAACCCAGGTACATGCCCTTGACCGGAATCGAACCTGGGACCTTTCAGTCCGCAGGCCGACGCTCTATCCACTGAGCCAAACCGGTTTTGGCGTGGGTGTACATTTTTATATGTTATAACCATAAGTGTACAGAAGATGTAGATGGCTTGATGGAATGCAGAGAGTTACAGGGCTTCTACTGCCCACCTTACTGTTTCTTATGAGATGGTGTCATAGAGCCATCATCTCCGAAGCCAAGCGCATTCACCCCAGGCTTGTTATTAGACCCACTAGGTAAAGTCCACGGGTCTGGGGAGTGAGTAACAGGGCTGCAGAGCTACCGTGAATTGAAAATTGCATTCTTTGACCTATGCCAGGTTCTTTTATTAGAAAGTCTTAGCATCTAGGATTTGAAACATTTTGCTGTCTTCCTTGAATTTCTCTGAGATATATCTGGGGCTTAGAGTTTTCCTATCCTTGCAGTAAATTTTTGTCTGAGAAATTTTGAACACATCCCTTTCTTATATTGAAATCCTCTATTTTGACTGTGTGTGCTGCTTTTTGGAAAGGTTAACTCTGTGAACTCTGATTCATATGTTGCTGTATGTATGTCATATTTCAAGAGCTTTTTTCTTCAATACACATAAGAGACCATACATGGATTGCTGCTACCAGGTAGACCAGTGTAGCAATCAGGAAGACTTTGCCTTTTATAGCTTGCCTTACTGTTTGAATTGTTTTATATGAAGCCTATTTTCTTTGAAAAATAAAGGGCTAATTTTACAGGAAAGGACATTATACTGAGCAGAGTTTTGATGGGAAGATGAGATAATCTCCCAAGATTGGGGTTCTGGAGCTCAGATCAAGCTCTGTCCTTTCCCTGCTCCTCCCTTACCTGCAGCCCGTTCCTCACCCACACAGTCTCCTCCTCCGGTTTCCACTTGTTCTTCCTGAGTCAGGGCAGCAGTCCACTTTGGGGACTTTCTCCATCTTGCATCTGGGAGGCATCTCCGCGCAGACTTCTCGTCAGTTTTCTGGAGCATGATACTGGAAAGAGTAAGCACTGAAGTATAAAAGGAGAGAGAATACATTGTGGCCGGCCTAGCAAGTCCAGGGCACATGTTCCTTTTCCTGCCAAGCATAACATACTGTGGTGAATTATACCTTTTATTCTGAATGCCTGCTATTCACAACCCATTATTCATGGTCAGCCCCACGTTCTTGCTCAGAAAGCAGCTCTTTGCATAGCTGCACTGTGGTCCGGCCTGAGTAAGTGCACTGGATGCAAACAGTCCCACCAGAGGATGGGAAGCACCGGCCACGCCTGCAGCCCCTGGCTCTGACCACCTCTGCTCTGTCTTACATTTCAGGCTCTCAAGGAGATAGATGAAGTTGGGGACCTACTACAGCTGAAGTATTCCCGTCACCGGTTGGTGCCGTTGCTGGACAGGCCCTTTGATGAGACCACATATGAAGAAACAGAAGACTGAGCCTTTTTGGTGCTCCCTTACGGAAACTCTCCCTCACCCAGGACAGTGTGTGGCCTTTCTGAGCCAGTTCCAGGAACCACACTTCTGTGGCCGTCTCACGTGAAAGACATTTTCTCAACTACTGACGGTGGCCACCTCCACTCCAAATGGCATTTTGTAAATAGGAAAAACTGCTCCACGTCTTCCTTTGCTGCATTTCACCTTTTAAAAAAGGTGACTTACTTTGCTTTTTTGTCCATTAAAAAATGTTTTATTTTATAACTATCCTATTTGTGAAATCACGCTGACCCTAGCCTGTCTCTGCTAACCACACAGGCTGTTGCCCTTCCCCAGCCACCTCGCAGCCTTGGGCCCATCCAAAGCTGCCAGCCGGCATCACAGCCTCAAGACTCACCTGGCCCCCCCCTCCCTCGGGAGCAAGTGCCTTCCACTTACTTCCACTCCAGATCCCGGAGGTTGCCAACCTGGGAATCCTTATTTAACCAGTCAAGTAATCAACCAAAGTGTTCTGCTTTTAGTCTTAAGTTAAGCCTTTTAAGAAAAACAGAAAACGTTAACACTGTTGATATTCTCCCTCGTTGTGTAACTCCCCCTGGTCTAGAGCCTCCCAAGTCGTGGTCTTGTTCCATTTACTGGAATGGAACAAGGATTTCTTCATTCACCATCAAATATTTCTTCATGATGGTCACTGTCTGGGGGTATGTCCAATTTCTGGATTCTTCCCAAGCTCTAACTTAATGCCCCCACCCCCTACGTAGAACACTTAAATTGTTTTAAAGGCACCCGCACCCCACCCTGATCAGACCTCCGTGGTGAAGCCGACTCACACTTCACGATTCTGTGTTCAAAGCTGCTCCGTGGAGTGATGTGCAGTCCTGCTGGGTGAGGGGCAGGGGCAGCCGGAAGAATTGATTACCACTTGCAGAACCAGACTGTCTGTGGTTTGCTCCTTAATGCTATCTGCTTTTCAAAATTATGATGGCCTCTGCCTGGGTCTGGGTCCAGATTAGGATTTAAACTGATAAAGGGAAATGTTGGTAAATCCTCTGCTCAGAAATCATTTGTCATGTTCCTATAAGGATTAAAGTTATTAACTTGCCCTTTTTAGAAGTTGGCCCATTTAAATATCACTCTTCTGAGCGCTGGTTCTCTTTATTCTTGATGTCCTAAGACAATTCTAACCTGACATCAGGGGTTTAGTCTCCCTTGCCTTCCATTACCTTCCCTTATTTTAAAGAAATTCTGAACACATATCTGTTGGCCAAACTGGCACCGTCTCTACTGACTCTGTTTTCATATCAGATAAGGGGACTTCTTTCAGAGAGCTTTATGCTGCTTGACCAAAGAACACATCTGAAAATCACCATGTTAAAGTTCTTTTATTTTTTTTCTGTTAACCAAAGCTTCAGTGAAAAGAACTTTAGACTCTATTCTGCGCAAGATCAGCTTGTCTTTTAGTAGCCATCAGGTATGATAGGGAAAGATTGAGAACCCAATGGAAAAGAATCCTGTGAAAGTATTTTTGCACATCTCTAATTGTGAAACCACTCCTTTTATTGGTAAGAATTCTCAGTCCAGATTCTCTTGGGCATCTTATTATCAGCTGTGGTATGTTTGTGCTAATACGTGTAGTGGAGGATGTATGCAATATTATCGTTTGTGAAGTTTTGTTTTCGTGTCTCAACTTGTCTTTGATCACTCTCAGCATCTGAGAGCCTTAAGCCCTTGAAATGTTCCAAGGTTTCATTTTACTTTTTTAAAGAATAGCAAGGGGTGAATAAAAGAACCATGTGGATATGCGGGGACTATACTTAGCATGTACAAGCTACAGTAAGAAAGAAATTGTGGTGACCAAGTAACTCGTCCTGTAAAATAAAGTGCATTGCTACCCTTTCCTGCACATCTAGTGTCTCACCCTAGGACCCCATAGAGTACCAGATGGCTTTTGCACTGCAGTTACTATGTAGTGGCGTAGGGTTTGTAAAAGTCACAAACTTTACGCAATGAACTTACTTGCTAGTCTTTATTTTGGCTTGCATGAAGTCAGTGCAATATAAAATATCAGTATGGGCATTTTAAAAGTTATATATCACTTTGCTGGCATAAAATTATTTCAGTATAAAAGTAGTTAAATTATAAATTTATTTTGAAGAAACAAAAGTCCTATGATCGATCCAGGACCTCTGCTGTCTAGAGGACAAAACATTATACATGCTGGTTGTCTCTTTTTGAAACTGTAATATAAATCTAGGATCCAGTCATATAGCAAGTATCATTCTTTAACCAAGCCCTTGGGGGAATATAAGTGTATATAAATACAGTCCTTGAGAACAAGTCGAAATCTGGGACTTGTAAGTATTGTTTAGTACATGGTTTAACACAGCCGGATTTGAGAATCTGATGGGATTCAAACAGGCATCAGCTAACCGTGACTACCAAAGCTGATCATCTGAGTCAGTCAGTGCAGGTGTGACTCAGCCTTATCACATTTCCCCATCTCTCTCTTTAGCATTCTTGATCCATTCCAGGTTTAGGAGACTTTTCTGCAGATTACATCAAAACCCAGGAAATCTATAATGAGGCGACATAAAAATCACACACAAAGAATGGAGCAGATAGCAGATCATCCTCCCACCTTTGCCCTAGAATGTGATGTACATTCTAAAGCAAGGAACTATGGGAAATGCTCAGGGGCTTTGAAGCATTTTTTCAACTTTTTGCTTTGCTTTGGAAAATTTCTTCTCTATTTAAAACATCCTAGTCTCCAGAACCCCAAAGTCTCTATCTTAAACTTTGATGATAGGCTGAGGATTTCAGATGGTCAAAACATGCTTCTTCCTCATGTAGTCACGTAAGGTGGACAGAATATCCTACACAACTACTGGGGACTGTGTGTACCTAATGCCCTTTCAGAGGCCAAGGAATTGGATATTCTTCCCATGATTTATCTCTATACTCCCTCCCTCCTGTATTTGGCTTTTCTTTCTTTTTGTTCTTGATTTTTAGAATTCCACAGGCAGTGAAGAAAAAGATTTGGGGGGATTCTTGTTTTATTAGACTTCATAGGGATGTAACAGAACCTGTCTCCTGGTTCTCTTGTGAAAAGAATTGCTGTGTCCTAACTCCCAGGGTGTCTCCTGGTGTTCTAGGTAAGCCAAAATGGATTCTAATCTCTACTTGCTAAAACCCATGTGGTTAGGCAGTGGGGAGAGTGAGTGGTTTTCCTTCTGTCTACCTTCATGAAGATCCAGATCTGGAGCATTTCACACAGGTAAAATCAGCATAGCCCAAAGGGATTGTGAAGGTTATAAAAGTGAAGATTCTTATAGCTGTTGAGCAGCTGTTTGCTTAAATGCAATCCCAGAACCTATAGATGTGCTGCTACCTATTTATCATGGAGGCTCAGTTTATAATGGAAGCTCATTGCCCAGCAGGCATCTTAATCCATTAAGCCAGTTAATCAAAACACCTCCATGTAGAGGAATGCATGTCCATTCTCTCCTCAGCTTTATCCTCATGAAATTTAGTGTCCAGGCTCCTAGCCAATTGCTATGTGCCCAGATAGCCAAATTAGAAGGCTGGCTTCCTGCTTATCATACTGAAGAAATGCTAGGACTAGCCAGTGATCCATTTGCTCTTAATTGTATGAAAAATGCTGTTGCCTCTTTTGTCGTTTCCAGTGACCTGTATTCCAAGCATCTTTTGCTATGGAGTGAGTCTTTTCTAGGGAGGAAACCAAAGGGATTAGCTGGAACCCCTATTGAAAATGTTTATTCAAGTCTTCTGTGGTGAGTCTGCAGGTATCACATTCCCAGTCCACCCTTGGGAGTGGCTTGGTTGGGGAGCTGTGGGCAAGGTCTTGCTTACTGCATAGTACACATGAAAAAATGGCCTTAAACTGTGATTCTTTGTGGTATGATGAGATATAATAAACTGACCCTGAAGAATGCACTGGCTCTTAAACTGCAGTTACTGTGTTTTTAATGAAGCAATACCCAAAGCTCTGTTCTTGTGGAGCAGTGGTGGGGAGGTTAGCAGTACCTTGATGGGCTAAGTGTCCTGTCTTGCTGCCATCTGCATGGATAAGTGGATCCCTCCATGTACGTGGAGCCTTGAGCCAAGTCACAGTCTGCTTTTCCAACATAACTCCCAAGCTTCTTGTGCAAAAGCTTGGTCCCTTGGTTCCAAGGGAGTGTGGGACATGTCACGGACTAAGGTGGAATGGTAACTTGTCTCCCTAAACAGGTCTTACTTCTGTGATGTTAAACCAATGGTTGGAATGACAAAAGTCATTCTTGATGGTTCTTCACAGGATACTGGTGAGATCGTGCTCACAGCCTCAATGATCCCTCTCTGAATAAAAGTAGCTAACATTAAGAGAAGGGGAAAGAGAAAATAAGAATAGACAAATAGCTTATGGGGAGCTGAGATCTTACTTTGTTGGCCCATATTTTTCCATTAACCAATTTGCCTGTAACCTGGAATTTGCAAGAGGTGCTGTGATAACCCCTCTCCGTTGCTGCAATGCTCATATAATCTGACAAAGTGAGAGAAGGGGAAATTCAATAAAAATGTAAGTGATATTAAAATGTCTTTCTTTCTCCCTTACCCCTGTCTCCCTTTTTTGCCAAGTAATTTTTTTTTTTTTTACTTTGTTGGATGACTGGGAAGCTATAAATAGTGGGTTGGGGTAGGTGTATGAGCTTTAAGAGTGCATGTCAAGAACTGAAGGGTATCAGAGGGGAGGGGGGTTGTAGGGCTGGGTGAAAAGGTGAAGGGATTAAGCAAAAAAACAAAACAAAACTCATAAACACAGTGTGGGGATTACCAGAGGGAAAGGACGGTAGGGACAGGCAGAAGTGGGTAAAGGGGATAAATGGTGAGGGAAGGAGACTTGATTTTGGGTGGTGAACACAATACAATATACAGATGATGTGTTATATAACAGTACGCTTGAAACCTACATAATTTTATTAACCAATGTCGCCCCAATAAATTCAATAATTTTAAAAACTGAAGGGGAGCTACTTGAGATAACTAAAGCAGTTGCCAACCGGTGATCCGTAAGGTCTGAAAGGTTGGCGACTGCTGCTTAAAAAACATCCCATACAAATAAATTGCAATAAGATATTTAGAAGTTTACATCTGCCTTTATTCATCAACCAATAAATGTTGGGTGCTATTTGCATGCCAGGCACTGCACTGGCACTGAGCATTACCAATAACAGCAACAAACAATTAGATATGGTTCCTACTTTCTAGTAAACAAATAAGCACATATACATATATATCCTTTTACAAACTGCTAAGTGCCATGAAGGAACGGTAAAAGATTGTCACCAGGGTCTGGTTTAGACAGGTGGTTGGTGCTCCCTGAGCAAAGGGGAGATGATGAGGTGGGCTGGGGAGGAGGTGGTGCCGGCCTGCTGCACTGGGCTGTCCTGTGCACTGGGGACCACTAGTGAGAAGTTTAAAGCATTGGAAAAGAAGCACTTGATTTGTGGTGTTGTTTTAACCCTCACCCGAGGATATTTTTCCATTGATTTTTAGGGAGAGTGAAAGAGAGAGGGAAAGACAGAAACATCGATGTGAGAGAAACACATCGATTGCTTGCCTCAAGCATGAGCCCTGACCAGGGCCCGGGTTGGGAGGAGCCTGCAACCAAGGTTCGTGTCCTTGACTGGAATCGAACCCAGGACCCTTTGGTCCACAGGCTGACACTATCCACTGAGCTAAACTGGCTAGAGCACCATTTTTTTTTTTTTTGTAGCCATTGACAAGTTGATGAGATTTATATGGAAATGCAAAGGACCTAGAATAGCCAAAACAAAATTTTGAAAAAGAAATTACACTACCTGATTTCAAAACTCTCTACAAAGCTTCAGTAACTAAGACTATAGTTGGCATTAGGATAGCCGTGTAGAGCAATACTATAGTAAAACAGACTAGAGTTCAGAAATAGACGCACATATATATGGTTAATTGATTTTTGACAAGTGTCAAGCTAATTCAATGGGGAAAGTACAGTTGGTCAAAAAATGGTGTTGGAACAGCTAAAAATCTAGGGGAAATGACTTTTGTTGACGTCTGTATAAACGTAGCTAACATTAAGAGAAGGGGGAAAGAGAATAAGAATAGAAAAATAGCTTACAGGGAGCTGAGATCCAAACCTGTAGAGAATTTTTACTAGTTTATTTGAGCCAAACTGATAACAATTGCCAGGAAACAAAATCTCAACGAATTGAGAAAATGCTCTGGAGACTGGCAGTTCTGCAGTTTATTTTATACATTTGAATCAAGAGACATAAGGAGGGTTACATGAAATTCACTGGTGGTAGATTGGGGAGCAGGAAAAAGTAAAGTGGGGAAATCTCTGGGATTGGATAAAAGGTAAAACGGGTAGACACATACAGTGGGGCCTTGACTTACGAGTGTCCTGACTAACGAGTTTTTTGAGATACCAGCTGTCTCTCGGCTGATTTTTTGCATTGAGTTGACAGAGTAATTTGAGTTAACTCCGTCTCGGAACGAATTAAACTCCTAAGTCAAGGCCCCACTGTACTTCTTTTACAGGATAGGAAATGAGTAACATTTACAGCACTTAGAGATGGTATTCCGGGAACAAATTAACAATGAGGGGTTCTATGGTCTCATGTTCTGCTGGGATGTTGTGTCTGTAAAAGAGATTACTCTGACATTTTAAAGGTATGTTATCTTAGATGCAAAAAGACAATAGACAGGCTCACATAGGCCAGCACTTTTGTCAAGGAAGCTATTGGCTGTGACTGGTGACTCACCGTTATCTATTTTAGTTAGGAATTTTTATGTTCAGACCATCCTATGGTGGTACCTTGTAGGGCCCGCAAGACTGGCCTCCCCTGAGCTTGTGAGGTTTAGTATGTGGCCCCTTTTTTGTCCACAGCTTCAACTCTTGCATCATATAAAAGAATTAACTGAAATCATAGATCTGAACATGCAAACTAAAATATAAAAGTTCTGTGCTCGCTTCGGCAGCACATATACTAAAATATAAAACTTCTATGAGAAAATACAAAAGGAAGTCTGTGACTTTGGGGTAGGCAACGATTTCTTAGGACACACAAAAAATTGATAAACTTGACTTCATCAAAATGAAAACTTCAAAAGACAAACTCCCAGGTCCCCACAGTAGGGACGATCTAAATTGGTAACAGATTGGTGACTACGAAGAGACATTTGCTTCCAGGCTCCCAGACATCTGAGCCTAGATAGCTACCAGCCAGAAATGACCTTGCTTTGCCCTACGCTCTCTGCCTCTGGGACCAGGATCTCTGAGACTGAAACATTAAGTCTGAGCGTCTTCTTGCCATCAAGGGTGAGCACATACGGAAAACCCCTGAAAGGCTGAAGGAGGATGCTTGTTGGGAGGCTGGGCTGTGCCAGGGGACGCCCGGCTGGGGTGGCTCAGTGGTTGAGCATAGACCTATGAACCTGGAGATTGCAAATTCGATTCCAGGTCAGAGCACATGCCTGGGTTGTGGGCTCGATCATTGATGTTTCTATCCCTCTCTCCCTCTTCCTCTCTGAAATAAATAAAAACATACTTTTGAAAAAAGAGTCGGTGGGGCACTGGCCCCTAGAGCAGCGGTTGCCAACCTTTCGGACCTCACAGACCACCAGTGGTCCGTGGACCACCAGTTGGCGACCGCTGGCCTAGAGGATAAGGAAAGGATAAGTCGATCCCAGAACAGGGTCGATTGGCACGTACCCCGCCCCCCAACATGAAGCAAATGTCTGTGCAACCAGGAACACTATAAAATCACTCACTATCCCCCTCCCTGCAGGAAGACCATTTTTAGGCTTTAAATATGCAAAGTGAGCTTTGAGTTAATGCTATAAGTCATTTGTCCCTCACTGATGGTCAACCATCTAGCTGTGGAATACTCTTTACCAAAGAGGCAGGTTGTACAGCAAATGTGCATAGATACAGCCAAAGGAGAAAGAGGCCTTTCTGGTACCAAGGGGAAGACTCCAAGTCAATTAGGAGCCCCTGGGCCCTGGGACCTGAAACTACTGATGATTGGATAAACCTTGTCCAGGCCCTTTTTGAATGCACTTCTCCTACAGCAGGAGAAAGCCTTCTGGCTAGTTTTAGCCTGACTACTAACCCCACTCCCATCCCCAGTCCTTCTCTGAGTGTTTGTCTCTTAGATAGGAGGAGCTTAACCATACTATACCCCTAGGCCCATGGTTGGCTCTTTGGCCCCTTGAGTGTGGCTCTTCCACAAAATACCTGCTCTTCCACAAAATACCAACTTTTGCGAAACTTCGTGGCCCATGCGCAAAAGTTGGTATTTTGTGGAAGAGCAGGTATTTTGTGGAAGAGCCACACTCAAGGGGCCAAAGAGCCGCATGTGGGTCGCGAGCCGCAGTTTGCCGACCACTGCTATGTCTACGCAATAAACACTCAAAGAATCACTGCAGATGGGAGTAGGGATCTATGGTCGTGGGGCCACGAGGGAGAAGATCTTCACACGTGCATATAGAGTGGCATTTCTGGAAGATCCTGGCACAAGGTTAATCCAATCATCTGTGAGTCTGAGCCCCCAGGGCGCGGAGTGCTCTATAATTGACTTGTAGTCTTATGGCTCGCGTGATAGCACGACATTTGGGTCATCAACAGCACTACAATAGTCATAGGCTATCTCCAGAAACCCCCTTGGGGGAAGGATTACAGCATGTGAGAGTCGCTCGATATCCCCCTTAACTTAAAAAGCTATTTTTTTTCTTTTGTAAACCCCTTGGCCGGAATATAACCTGGAACCCCTAAGGGGCGGGGGGGGGGGGGGGGGGAGTGGAGAATCAGGCCAGTAAACAAGTCTCTAAATTATAACACAATTCACCAAAATGGTATGAAATCCCTTATGTTCAATTTTTCATGGCCATGCACCAGAATAAGGGATGACAAAATAAAATGAAAATGT